TCTTATTTTATTTCATATTAATCAAAATTCAACCCCAACATATAAAACATTCAAAACTTACAATGGGTTTTGCCAAATTGAAAGCATGTGAGATCTTAAGGATAGTATCTGTTGTGGCAAGTGATATCGCAACAGTGACTGACAGCCAGGCCGAAATTCTGGCCCTAGGATCACCTAGGATATCCTTAAAACTGGTGGGTCAATGTTGTCGTGAGCTGACATGAGTGTGCGCTCGTCATAGCGTCAGACTTCTTTCTTTGTCACACTTTTCTGCAATTGTCCGGCTCTGGATATGGAAGATTAGTATCGGGGATTTAGATAGATTCCTCAAGAGATTCGAGTGGTTTATCTGTTTAAGATGCTGTTATCTCGGAACTGTTTTCAAATAAATTTTAGCAGTCATTTATTTTTCAATAATTTGTATTTAGTATTTATACAATTACAGAAAAACTTGTAAAAGCGAAAACCTTTTTAGAATATTTAGATTTGTAATAGAATTTTTATACCCTATAAGTTATATATATATGTATATAGAAGTCGCAGTCCTATTTTGTCAAAAGTTAAAAATTTCAATAAAAAATTTTTGTTTTCACTTTGAATAAACATTCATAAATTATTTTTATTATACACATTTTCATTTTTTATTTATTTATTTATACTTTTTTTATTTTTTCATGTATATTAATTAATTGTAATATAATTAAATTAAAAAAATCGAATATAATTTATTAAAATTTGAATTTTTTATACAGTTTATATTATTTTATTTGTTTTCAAATATACATTCATTATGAAATTTATATATTTTAAAATATACATACATATTTTACCTATATAAGCCTATTTAATATTCATACGTACTTGTATTTTATTATTTTAATTTTAATAACTTATAGGAAATTTATACAATACTATTTTTTTATATTAAACTAATAGGAATTTTATGGCATTGAATAATTATTTATATGTATAGCTTTTTCTATATTTCTTTTGTCTTTTTTTTAAACTAAAAATAATTTACAAAATTTACCGCAGATAGCTTTTAAATTTTTATATACACATATTTAAAATTAATTAATATAATTCCAATTATTAATATTAAAAATTATCAATTTATTTATAATTGCTTTCAATAAAAATTTTTAAATTTTTTATGCTGCACACAATAGAAAAATTTCAAAATTAATTTCTTTTTCTATTTTGTTTTTAAATTAAAATATTTGATTTATGTATGTACGTTAATTCGTAAAAACTGTTACTAGATAAGCACTATTAAAATTGACGGAAAATTAATATTGAAAAAAAAACTTGTTTCAAAATCGTTATTTATTAATGATTTAATAATAAATTAATTTAAAAATTTCAATTCCAATTGATATTCATTTATTAAAGTATTTCAAAATTACAGAATTTTAAACTTTCCCTAAATGCACACAGCAACGTATGGGACTGTTATTCCTGCATTATAGCTGCGGGGCCTTAAAATTAAACCACAAGGCAGTGTTCATTTGTTTTTTATAAAAGCACATTGACGTTTGTATAAAACACCGTAAGCAATGAAAATAATTTTATTATAGATCTAACACGGTGTGCTTGGAGTTGAAAATTTTTTTCTTGACAATGTTCTTGCCGTAGTCATTTAGGCAGAGTGATTAAACTTCCTATAAGTGTCATAATACAGACAATGAAATTTTGACAGAAGATTTTTAACTGATTGCCAGAAGGATGGGCGGCGAACTATTTCTGTAGGAGCTGTTTTTAAGAAAAGGAGGAAGAAACAACAGCATATCTTCTTTAATCATGGCCAGCTTTGGCAGGGGCGGGTAGAAAATTTTTTAAATCGCATTTCTGCAAGCTACAGATCTGGCGAGTCCTAATACCAGAAATCTTAAATGGCTTATAAAAGCCTCGGGTTGGTCCATAAAATATGCTGGGTAAATTCAAAGTTTTCTGATAACGAATCATCTAAAATTTAATTTGCTTTTTTAACCCAAAACACTCGGTTTTGACATATACACTTGCTGTATGATGTAACGTATTAATAAAATTTTATTATAACAAATAAAACATTTTATTTAAAATTTATTCAGTCGGCACGAGAATATTGGATAAAAATTTTGAAATACCCTTACCAAAACATTGGAAAAGTTGTTAAAATTTTTGGAAATCATTGATAATTTTTCAGGAAAACGAGTTGTGTAAATGTTATACATTTTCTAACATACATTTTATATTAATACCGGATGATGAAGAGTGATTGGAATGATGTGTGTTTTGGTGAAAAAATGAGACAGGAAAAATTTAAATGGAATTGTGAATAATTTTCCTTTTTATAAATGAACTATGTACAGTTATATGAGACGAAATGATTTGAATAATAAATATTCAAGGTTTAAAAGAACTGAAAACGAAAGACTGCGAAATTGGGAAATTTTAGCAGAAAACGATAGGTGCAACGAATTTCTTATAACTTGTTAAATTTCTATTTTAAATTAATTTTATATGTGCGTTTAAATTTTTGTAAAAAAAATCCAATGCCGCGACATACCTTCGTATTACAATTAAATCAAAGCAATTATTGTTGCTTAAAAGGAAATCTTTATAGACAGAGTTCAATAAAATATATAGTAATGTGTGTATGTAATAATAAATAACAATATAAAAAAAAAACTTTTTTTGTTGTCGGTAAATAAATATTTGTATAATGCGCAGTCAGTTATCAATAAAATAAAATTATATGTTAAGTATATATTACAAAGGTACATGCAATACATATTTACAAATTTAAAGGATTGTACAGCAAAAAGGTTGATCTCTTAAATCGACTCAAACTTTGTATCGTCATAGTTTATGATGAAATTTTCTATGTCAAAAGGTTCGTAGCGTCTATTAGGTTCGTTTAAATAGAGCATTCTACTGAAAAGTATAGATGTTTAATTTATGAAATAACGGTTTTCATTTTGGGAAGAAACGTTGTCCAGATACAATTTTTTGTTGCTTATTATTTAAATAAGCTTATTTCTGGCAATATATATTAATCAATATTACGAGACTGTGATATTGATAATCTGAGAGCTCTGATTTTAAACACGGTAGTGAAAACGAACACGGTAAAAAATATTCTGTTATTTAATTAATTTAAAAATTTTAAATCTCATAATAGTGTATAAACTCTCTGAAACCTGAATGAAAACTCCTAAAAAATAACATGAATTCTTAGCTTTGCATGCTCGCGATTTTTAGACTTCTTACTTCAAACCTTCCTTTAAAACTTCCTTTGCCAATTATATGGAATGATGTCACAAAATACGAATCCTTTTTCGAGTCGACCTTTTTGCAAAATTTTTATTTTTTTATAGGTTAAATGATAATCGTTATTACGAGTATGCATAAAATTTATTTGTTTTCTTTTTAAACAAGTTTCTTTTTAAACTCCATATAAAATTTAAAAAAAATTAATAATAAATGGTTACTATGTTGACATAAAGCTGTGAATTTAATTATATGTCGCTTATAATTTATAAGATTAACATATATATGTATAATATGTAGTAGCTGTGTATGAGTGTAGTATAATGCGGCTTGAAATCGATGAAATTATACAGAATTCGATTGAAGTAATATATTTAAAAAAAATAACAAACACGGTTAAAAAATGATTAAACGTTATTTTTTCTGTTAAACTTTGGTCTTTAATTGGGTAATTTGTAAAAAAATAAACTCTTGTTAGCGTTTGTTTAAAAGTAACTTGTATAAAAAGTAAATAAAATTAAATTTAATAAAATCGGTTGTGCATAAAATAATAACGTTCAAAGACAAATAAATTTTGAAATACTCAAAGTGATTTCAGTATTATGACTAAAACTTAGGGGGTAAATTAGGAGAAAGCCGAAAACAATAAAAAAACGTTACGATTATGCTAACTAATTTTCATCTAATAGAGTTGCAATAAGAGAATACGTTTAATAAGGTTTCACATTTTTTCGCAATTTAATAAGGAGCATAATCTGTTAAAAATTTGTTCATGAATAGACCAAATCTAATATTAATAAAAATGTTTACAACATAATGTCTGACTTCGTTTGAGAAAATTAAATCGCAGAAAGTAAATTTTTAGGAGGATGATAAGAAAAAAATTATCAGATTTATTAAAATTTTCATTATGTGGTTAAAGGACATCCTCACAATTTTGTGTAATTCTTTCACTTAAGCCATATAAGAGGGCGGTTACGTAACGATCGCTATTAGAAACATGAGTATATAAATTTACAAAATATAAATTTTTTTCTCGGCAAAATCTGATTTGTAATCTAGCTTAAAATTTGACTATTTCTTACAAATACGTAAGAAGTCTACGTAAAATAATAGGTTTCCATTAAGTAACTAACGGTCGGTTTAGTAATCGCAATTATTTCACTCAAAGTTAAATTACATACAGAAATACTCGCCCTAATTATTTGAACATTTAATATTTAAAAGATTTCAATGACTAAAATGTCATTTTTGAAAAAAAATTATAACTATGTGAAATTCACCAGGAAATTTTGATATTTAGAAACCGAACAAATATCAACGATTTTGTAATTCACTATACACGACAATTGTCTTATAAAGTTGCTAAAAAAATGTAATTCGCTACATAAGTTACCATCAAATTAATAAAATTTTTTAGTATTTCTTGAATAAATGCAAATGATATCGGCTACGATAAATTAACCGATCTATCCTTTACTATTTTAATTTTATGCTGTGCATAAATTAGAGTAAAAAATATTTTTCTGTAGCGGAGACTGTATATGCATATGAAATAGCTTTTTAAATAATGTTTTTAATATTTCATCGCCTTAGTGCAGCTTTTCTTTCAATCTTTTAAAAACAAATAAATTTTATGACAATCATAACTTACATATAAGCATTTAAAATAACTTACACAACTAAATCACACAAATTATGTACCTTATTTTTTACATAATTTACCTTAAAACCAAAAATTAAAATTTCTAAATTGTTCTTAAAGTAGACGCAATCCTATTAATGTCGCCAACATGATGATGATGTTGGAGATGATGTTGCTGTTGTTGCTGTTGTTGTTGTTGTTGCTGCTGTTGATGCTGTTGTAAAACATTTAGATTATGATAATAACTATTATGTAATCCTGCTCCTAGAGCAGCTGCTGCTGCAGGTTGCATCATTAAAAGTGGATGCATTGGCAAATCGTAATTCATATTTATTGTTGGATTATTTGGAGGATAATGTAAAAACGGTAGACCAGCTGCCGCACTAATTGTATGTAAAGGAGGTAATACTGTTCTTGGTATTGGAGGCGTTGGTGTAGTTCCTCTAGTTAATTTAGAATTTTGTTCATCTAAATCAAAATGTTCATCTCGATTTGAAGCTTTCCGCTTCATACTTCCGCAATCAGTTTTACTCTTTGATTTCTTACTCTTTTTACTATCAATACTAAGATCATCGGTACTGCTTGTATCGTCAATACAATATGTGGCATCTTTATCTGGTGTTATAAGGCTTTCTATTGTAAAAGATCTCTTTGGACGACTAGCATCAAACGAGGAAGGAGTTGTTTGTAAATCAGATGTTATACCAGTCAATGGTGAACAATCTACTGATAATGGTGGTGATATAGTAGATCTTAATAATGGTGGTGATGTATTATTATGAGGTAACATTGTTGCTGCCGCATATGTTGCATGTGGATGTGGTGGTGGTATACGACCATATAATGCTGGATCCTGATGTATTGGTGGTAAATCCATTGGATGATGTAAGGTGGCTGCTGTACTAGTAAAAAAATAACGATTTAAATTTGCTAATGCTGCCAACTCTTCATTTAAAGTATCCTTATCATTTTTATGTAATTTAAAACGTTTTCTTCGTCTTAATAAGCTACCATTTTCAAACATATCAAATGCTTGTGGATGTAATGCCCAATATGCACCTTTACCTGGTCTATCTGGACGGCGTGGAACTTTAATAAAACAATCATTAAAACTAAGATTATGCCGTAAAGAGTTTTGCCATCTTTGAGTATTTTTCCGATAATAAGGAAAACGATCGGTTATAAATTTATAAATATCACTTAATGGTAGCATTTTTTCTGGAGAACTCCAAATTGCCATTGCTGTTAATGATATATAGGAGTAAGGTGGTTTTTGATCACCGTACGTTTCACGTGATGGCCGAGGCATGTTTTCTTTTAACTTGTCTCTAAATATTTTTAATTATTTATTATATTTGATTATTAATTATAAATTTTTAATTTGTTTACAAACTTTAATGTTATTTTTGTTTTAGTGCATATTATTTTCCTATTAAACAAAAAATATTCTTAAAATTTAAAATTGAGGCTTTATTGAATTGCGAATGATTCTTTAACTGCACATTGCACATATTTCTTTCTTATATATTTTTAACACCTTGACTTGATGATTAAACAAACCAATATTTTAGTTCTTTTATTTTTACTCGGTACCTAATTCTTTTCAATATTAATATAAAAATGCCGACGGCGAATCAGAAATCAATGATATAGTTGTTATATGGATAGCAAAAATATTATAGTTTTACTGCTTCATTAAATTAAATTTTCCTGAGCGTTTAATATATGGTAATTGTCTTTGTTGCTTTTGAATGTTTACAAAACAAAATTAAAGAAAAATAAACCTATGTTTAAAATCAATAACAAAAAATATTTACTTTACTTGTAGAGCAAATTAATTTTTTATGTCTTCCATATTGTCTAAGGAAAACATTTCATATGTAAGTACATTTTGAAACAATTTTTGATATACATGCCTATTTTCTATAGGTACAGTTAATTAAATAAAAACGTCATCTTTACCTTATACTTCTACATATTTATGTTCCAAGTTTACAAGAGAAATACTCTAAACATCTTTTTCTATAATAAAATATTTGTCACATAACAAAGTTGAGTATGCAATATTGTAATATTTTCATCATAATTCGAAACAAGTAGTACTTACAGGAAGAACGAATTTCGTAAAGACATGAATCTTATTTATTAAGATCATATAATTATGTACGTCGGCATAAATAACCTCGAAAAACGAACCTCACTCTCTATTTAAAATAGTTTCTTTATAAAAATCTTAAATACATGGATAACTAAATGCCTTTGATCTAAGTACGTTCATTGAAGAAAATAGCCAAATATTTATGATCATTTGGTATTTTAATTACATTAAAGGAATAAATATTTTTGTAAATTTTATGTGATTTATTTGAAAATATTATTAAGAAGTTTATTTGGATTGGAATATCATTTATACTTGCTGATTTAGTTACCAAAAAAAATTAAGTATCCTTTAAGTAACAAAAATTTTATAGGTCTAACGTCTAAGGGAAAAATTGAATTCAGTTATTTTTGAAAAAGAAAATAAATTTTAAGTCAATTTTTAATTAAAAAAATTTTAAATTTCAATTAAAAAATTATTATGCAAATCAATAAAGTACTCAATTTCGTTATTTATTCATACTTATTTTATAAAAAACAACACTTTTAATTTATTTAAGTACCTTTTTTCATTCTTGTCGTAAATGATTAGTTTACTAATGTTAGTCTATTTAATTTATTTATAATTTGAAATTTTAAAAATTTGATTTTTTCTAATTAAAATTCTTATTCATTTTTCAACTTTTAATAATCAATTATCAAAATCAATTTATTAGCAAGTCAAATTTTAATTAAAATATTACCATTTCTTTCTTTTACATAAATACTGTATTTATAAACAAATTATATATGTACATACATAATATAAATAATATTTAAAAATAGAAAATCATCACATTAATATTTAATTTTAAAATTTTGGGTTTCTTCCACATCTGTTATCTTGTTCTCTAATTTATGTCAATTAATAATGACAACAAGAACTTTTCACTTCATATTTTACACTTTTCTCAAAGTAAACAAAATATTTATTTTAAAAAATTTTTTTTTCAAAAAAACTTGTTCTAATCAATATTAATTAAAAATTCGAATATTCACATTTTATTATTAAAATTTGCTGTTTTTACTTTTTTTTCTTTTTTGTTTTCATGTTTATAACAAAATTAATAATTCTCTTTACTCTTGTTATTTTATTTTTAAATAATTATTCCAAATTAAGTAAAAAAAACTTGTTTTTTTGTTTATTGTTTAAATTAAATAATAAGCTTTTTTAAACCGTTCATAAATTTCTTTGATTTTCAAAAGAAAAATTTTTTGATTTAACAATCACATTTTTGATTTTAAAAATTAATTTTTTTAAATTCACATTTTCATTTTTATTTACATATTCATATATACACACATTGTAAATTCATGATAGAAAATTAATTTAAATGCAAGACGCTGTTCTCTTTTTAAACACCACCTTTTATGTTTATACATATGTGTGTACGTTTAAATAGAAGGAATAGGAAGAAAATAAACAACTTTAAAAAAAAAATAAAAGCTTTATATTGAAGATGATGTATAGAGAAAAAAGGCGAATAAAACAAATAATTTAAAGATGTAAGAAGCAAGAAACAAAGCTTTTTAACTTGCTTTTTCGACTTGCTTGGCTGGTTGATAAAGGCAAAAGTCTATAAGAAAATAAAAATAAATTAAAGAAGATCGAATTTATTTTTTTTTTCTTTTTTCTATTGTTTTTATTTCAACTTTTCATTTGCTTCTTCTTTTTCTTCAATAAATTCAAATCTAATTATAGCAAATCCAACCGGTACGTTCTCTTGTTTACAAAAGACTGGTTTAACTTGTAAATATAAAACAGTAGAGGTGTTGAAATACAAAATTACAATCTCTGTGTAGTTGATTGGATTGGAAATGATACTGTTATCGTTTTTTTTTTTTTGATTCTTCATTTTGTTACTTTTTTTTAACATTTTTATTTTTACATAAAAAAAAAACAAACCAAATGTACTTTTTTTTTGCTTTACAATTTTTTTTTTATTCTTTTATTTACTATACTCTAATATAACAAGAATTGTTCAAAATACAATTTTATGTTTATAAAAAAGCAAAAAAAAAAAACAATTTTTTATTCGCTATTTTTTCACTTTGTATCTCGTTAAGATTCCGTTTTGAGGTTAGTCGTTTTTGCTTGTTTTCATTATTTTTTGGTTATTGTTTTTTTTTTACTTAGTTTTCAACTCTTTTCATTTTTTATTTTTTGTATATTATTGTTTACCATCATTTCTTTTTTGATCATTATAACAAAAGAAACAAAAAAAAAAAAACACGATAAAGTGAAGCCCAGATTCATTAGCTTTTTTTCACATTTTCTTTTTATTTATTTTTATTATGTTTGTATTTTCATTTTTATTTTTATTTTATTTTTTGCGCTCTTTGGTTAATTTTTATTTCATTTTTCTTCATTTAATATTTTTTATTTTCATTAAATAAGAAAAACCAATGTGTTTTTTTTTTTTTGTTTTTTCTGTTGCCCATACTAAATCAAATCCTTTTTAAACATTTATACAAGTACAAACAAACACTACCACTACTACTACTACTGCAACCAAATAAATAATAAAATAAAAAAAATATTTGAGTTGAGGACCAAGAGATTCTCATTATTTTTCTAATTATTTTTTTGTTTTTTTTTTTTTTTTGTTTTTGACTTTCCATAAGTATAGAAGCGTCAATATTAACATTTTGCAATCTTCCTTTTTATATTATGTTTCATTATGTACAAAATTTAGTTACAGAATTACAAATATTATGATATTAAAATTATATAACAGAATAGCAAAATCATTTACATACATATGAACATATAATATTTATTTTATCTTTTAAAGCACAATATAAATAACAGACTCGTTAATAAAATCTGTACACATAATTATAGCTAATGGATTCAAAAATTTAAATAAAAGGAACAATAAACTTATTAATGATAATTTTGCTCTCTTCTCTTTTTAGAAAATTCTGATCTGTCTCTAAATTCAAGAGATTCTGATATAATATTTATCAACAGAACAGAAAACATACAAACAGCGTTCCCACTTGGATACAATTGTATCCATTTGGATACATATTTGCTTTAAATTTGAACTTGGATACAAAGATACTCAAATCTGCTAAAATGCCGAAATTGGCTACATTTTAAAATTTTGCTGAAATATGGATACATTTTTTTTCAAACACTAAATAAATATTACAAAACAGTTGAAATGCTGCTAATATTAAATCGCGAAGTTGCTTTATCTTCAATAAATGTTATTTGCTGACTATTCTAAACACGTTTCCGAATTTTTTACAAGAAAGTAAAAAAGATGCTTTATTAACTGTCTCTTCCTGTATTCAAATTTAGCACATTTATACAAGAACGTACCAAAAATATTTTAATGTTAGCTAGATGTAATAGAAAATGAATTGGGTGTACATATTTTTTAAAATTTGTCCGTTTTCATGGTCAGTCGTCTTTACCGCATAGTTCAACAACTACAGAAGGCATAAGTATATGCATATGTTTTTTTTGGCCTTAACTTTCACATTTAAAATATAATAGAAGTTGTATGTGATTTCTTAAAGAATTTACTACAAAAAACAAAACTCATATTGTGGAATAAAGCAAATTAATATTAATTATGGGTTAATTTTTACAAAATAAGACGACTTATTATAATAATGCTATTTTACGAGGTTGGATACATTTTGGATACATTTTTTTCTCGAAATTGGATACATTTTGTTTTTACCGAGTGGGAACACTGCATACAAACCATACAGAGCAATAAGAAAAGCAAATATTTGAATGCCTTATACTTTTTTCACAGAATTCTTATTATGTTTTCTCTCATTTTCCAATTTTCTCTCATAATTTTAAACGAACGAGAGAAATATTCTTTAATACAAATAGTTTTATTTATGTTTTAAAATTTTTTCTGTTGCTTGTTCATTTATTTTTTCTTCTATTTTCATCTATGTATGTATGGATATGTATTTACATTAAATTGAACATTATGGTTAAATGTGTTGTGTCTCAAATTATTTTGAAATCACTATCTTTGTTGATTTGTATTTCATACATACACACATATTTATATAGGAAATCAATTAATCAAACAATATAGTAGTCGGCAATAATAATGTTTAAATAGAATATTTATAATGAGTTATTTGTGAATTTTAATTAATAAACATAAAGCTACCAGACAAGATCTTACAGATTTA